TGACCACCAGTATCTGGGGGAACATTTGTTCACCAGAGCACCCCAAGGGATGACGAGGTCGAATAGTTATAAACTACTGCGAGACTGTTTTAGGTTGGACGTAAGGAAGAATTTCTTTCCTGTCCGAGCCCCCAAGGTCTGGAACAGCCTGCTATCGGAGGTGGTTCAAGCACCTACATTGAACTTCTTCAAGATGAAATTGGATGCTTATCTTGCTGGGATCCTATGACCCCAGCTGACTTCCTGCCCTTCAGGCTGGGGTTGGACTTGATGATCTTCCGAGATCCCTTTCAGCCCTAACGTCTATGAAATCTATGAGGATCTAGGTTAACTACAGACCAGTCAACCTCACCTCAGTCCCTGGAAAAATCATACAGCAGATCCTCAAGGAATCCATCTGTAAGCACTTGGAGGAGAAAAGGGTGATTAGGAACAGTCAGCACGGATTCACTAAGAGCAAGTCATGCCTGACCAACCTGATTACCTTCTGTGACAAGGTGACTGGCTCTGTGGAGACCAGTGGATATGGTATACCTTGATTTTAGCAAGGCTTCTGATACAGTCTCCCACAACATTCTCACAGGCAAGCTAAGGAAGTATGGGCTGGATGGACTGTAAGGTGGATAGAAAACTGGCTGGAGCATCAGGCTCAGAGAGCAGTAATCAATGGCTCAGTGTCAGCAGCCAGTATAAAGTGGAATCCCCCAGGGGTTGGTTTTGCTCAACGCCTTTGTCATCTTCCAGGTCATTGATGGAGTACTCCCTCAGCAAGTTTGCAGATAACACCAAGCTTGGGGGAGTAGTAGATATCATAGTACTTAGGGTCAGAAGGGACCTAAACGGAGCATCAGGTCTGACCCCCTAATATGCTGGAGGGTAGGACTAGGCAAATTCAGAGTGACCTAAACAAATTGGAGGATTCGGCCAAAAGGAATCGCAAGAGGTTTAACAAGGATGAGTGACAGAAAGCCAAGGCAGCAACCAAACTCCAACTGACTACACACATTAAGGACAATAAAGAGTCCTTTTTTTCACATATGTGGGCAGTCAGAAAAGCAAGTATAACGCTGGACCCCTGCTAAACTAAATGGCACAACTGACACCCAAGAAAAAGCCAACCTGCTTAATGGGTATTTTGCATCAGTTTTGGTTTTTTTGTTTGTTTTGTTTTTTGTTTTAACCAGCCCAAAAGGACCTCCCTGTCTAACACGATTCAGGATGGCCAGGGTGAGGGTGAATTTATACCCAGCATCGGTGTAGACCTCGTAAAGGAACATCTTGAGAGGCTGGACACCAAAATCAGCTGGTCCTGACAGCTTGCACCCCAGGGTACTTAAGGAGCTAGCAGGCATCATAGCCCAGCCACTAGCAAGGATCTTCATGAACTCATGGCGCTCAGGTGAAGTACCCAAAGATTGGAAGACTGCCAATGTGGTGTCCATCTTCAAGAAAGGGGGAAAAGTAGATCCGGGGAACTACAGGCCAAATCAGCTTGACCTCAATCCCTGGGAAGATTTTGGAAAAAATTTATCAAAAAGAGACCATTCTTGACAAACTGGCTAATGGCAACATCCTGAGGGATAGCCAGCACAGGTTTGATGCAGTCTTGCCTGACCAATCTTATCTCCTCCTATAACCAGGTGACCTATCACCTGGACAAGGGAGAAGAGATTGACAGCATATATCTGGACTTCAAAAAAGCCTTCAATCTAGTGTCCCATGATCTCCTCACGGAAAAACTGGCCAACTGTGGCCTCAGCTACATTACAGCCCGATGGCTGGGAAATTGGCTCCGAAGTCAGACCCAGAGAATAGTAATCAATGGAAGTGAATAATCATGGTGCTCCATGACCAGTGGCACCCCCAAGACTCTATCCTTGGACATACACTCCTTTAACATCTTTATTAACGATGTGGACATTGGTGTCAGAAGCGGACTGGCCAAGTTCACTGACAACACCAAACTTTGTGCTAAAGCATCCTCACCTGTGGATAGGCTGGTGATGCAAGCCGACTTTGACAGGCTTAGAAAATAGGCGGATAAAAACCTGATGACATTCAATAAGGATAAATGCAAGGTACTCCACCTCAGGAGAAAAAAGCCGCATCACACTTATAGGACTGGGAGGGAGCAGGAGGAAGGCTGAGAGACAGGGGGCACCATGTGCATGTGCATGTGCATGCACATGCATGTGGTCCCAAGCAGCCTGAGAGCAGCTCCAGCAGGTAAGGGGTGGGGGGAAGAAAGAGGAGGATGGAGACTCCTGTAGGGAGGAAGCTGAGTAGGGTTGGGGTTGCTGCCCAGCTACATGGGGCTTGGGGCCCAAGGCTGCAGTGAGCAACTGCAGGGCCCCAACAGGGAGGAGGATGAGGCTGCAGGTTGTTTGTCCGGGGGAGGGCCATCTCCCTGTTGCCATGTGCACTCTCAGGGAGCGGGGGGAACCCACACCCCCCAGATCTGTGTGCAGGCTCCTGCCCTGCTTCCCTCCCCCAGGGCCTCCGCAGCCTAGCAGGCATGACCCAGCACAGCAGGGGACAATGGGGCCACATGGAGATCTCCTCACTGCTGTGAGCTTCTCCTGCGCTACCCTGGTGGCACACCCCCTGCACGTGCCACTGCTTTCCCCATGCTGCTACCCTTACTGCAGCCCCGTGCACAGGAGTTATGTTGCCAAGGCAGCGCCAGGTTAGCAGCGGCAAGCAGCTTCTCCGCATGGCTCCTCTGCTCCCTGCTGCACTGGGTGGCGCCCGCTGGACTGCAGAGACCCCAGAGGAGGGAAGCAGGGCAACAGGGAACAGCAGGTCAGTGCAGAGAAGCTGCCTGCTGCTGCAAGCTCTGCACTGCTTTCCTTCCCTGGGGCCTCCGCATCCCAGCAGGCACCACCTGGCACAGACGAGCTGGGGATCTCCTCGCCGCTGCTCACCCCGTGCTGCCCTAGTGATGGGCCTCCTATGTGCGGGGCTACAGTGAAGGCAGCAGCATGGTGCTGTGCCCCTCAAAGCAGCAGCATGCACAGGGGGTGCACTGCCAAGGCAGCAGGGGGAGGGAAGAAGTTCGTAGCAGTGAGAAGATCCCCACACAGCCCCTGTCCCCTGCTGAGCCAGGTCATACCTGGCAGGGCTGTGGAGGCCATTGGGTGGGGAAGCAGACTGGGAGTTTGAGCTGCCACACATACAGATCAGGGGGGCACAGGTCCCCCTCTGCCCCCCAGGAGTGCATGCAGTGGTGGGGAGCTGCCCTGTCCAAGCCCACAGCAGTGGGGAGTGGAGGCAAGGGGCTGTGGACCTGGGTCTGTAGCCCTGGCAGCTGGGGGCCCCCTCCGGCAGGGCTGGGGGAGCAGGGACTTGGGTGGGGGGTGATGGGCACCAGCAAGGCTGGGGGGAGGGGGCAGGAGTGAGAGGCATGAACAGAGCCAGGGGTCCTTTAAATTTTAATCACAGATTTTGGGTTTATTAAGAGATTTGTGATTTTTCAGGAAAATGTTTGGGGTTTGTTTTTTGGTTTTTTTGGGGGGTGGGGGGTTGGTTAATCAGGGAAAACCAGGATCCCTACTTATGAGGTTAGTCACCAGTGCAAATGTTGGTATATAGACAGGAACAGTGTTTTCTTTTCTGCGCACGGAGTCATGTTGGTGCCTATATACTACAACTTGGAAAACATGTTACTCCAAAGACAAACCTTCTAGAAGCCCCAGTTTTAGAGCCCTTGCAAGACGGTCCTACATAGTACCTGCAACAGAGTCAGCGCTCCTGCAGCTCTACCTCTCCACTTGCCTCTGCACCAAAGACAGGTCTCAGGACCAACCGAAGTCAGCACGAAGGTAAATGCCAATATTACTGCCACCTTGTTGTAGGATTCCTTCATGCAGAGTCAGAGTACACTGCATGCTTGAGGGAGTGCTGTCTAATTATTTTTTGCTCTAGTCTGGCTCCTGGTCCAGTCTTGTCCAAGTCAGACACAGCATAAACTGTTTTAACTAGTCTAATTCCTTAGCAAAGAAACCAGCTTAAAAAGCCTGTCCAAGATGATGGTTCCTCAATCAAGAGAGACATCATCTATACCCATCTCTAAGGGAAAGGAAACAAGCACTGGATAGGTAGTGTTTGAACCCTAACAGCTTATAGTCTGCGCCATGAGGTATGGCAACTGACATGAAATGCCTCATTCTACTGTTCAGAGGTTATCTTCTTAGTGCAATAGTAGGATTTTTTTTTTTTTTAATGCATACACTGAATGAGGACAAGGTTCTTTAAAACCTGCGTTTTCACAAAAAACACAAACCGTGAAGCTTTTAATAATAGTAAGTCAGATACTTCTGGGTTGTCTCAGTGCCACAGATGTTCAAGGGAACCAAGGATAATTCCTATAATAGACCCATGGGCCCAAGAATTCTAGTTGTACTAAGTCAAAAACAACCTAGAAATAACAAAAAGGTGGAGAATTTCTGCAATATCTGGTGCTAGGTTCATTTCAGACTTTGCAAACTCAAGCAGGTTGAATCTGTCACATTCTCTTCACATTTTGAAGATATTATTTGCAGTCATAAATATTTAATTTATTCTGTCTCTCCCTCTCCCTATACTGTGGGAGACAGAATAATTAAGTTATTTATGCATTTAGAGAGAAAACAGAAAGAGCCAGTGTGCAAGTGAAGGACCACAAGCTGATAAACCTGAAAGACAAAGTGGAAATCTCAAAAACAAAAGAAAAAAAAAGAAAAGAAAAGGAAACAAGCAACAAACCACTCCCCCTGAAAAAACCTGAGTGTAGTACTGCTGCTGTCTACTAGCCACATACTTGTATTTTCAGCAGGTTTCAACATACTGAAAAATATGAGCATCTCCACTAGACAGCAGGAGCACTACTAATAGTACTCTATCCACACTAGAGAGTGAAGATGCTCAACCTTTTTGGTAGTCTCACCTGGAACTGATGTACTGAAGAAAGTAATTTGTTGCAGATGGAGGGTCTGAACTTGGAAGTCCTGCAATCTGTACTTCAACTGTTTCATCACTTTCATCTCCTAACTACAAGTTAAAAAAATAGTAATAGTATAAAAAGAAGAGATGCTTATAGCTATTAAAAACTATGACATAGGCTGTATTCTATTGCAAGATGTATATTTTCATTCACTATAGAAGAAGAACCACACAAAATGTATCATAGCAAGTTTCCCATTGTTTCAGGTGGAGCCCCTGCAGAAGTGCCAGTATATTGTATCCATTAGCTGTAAATCAACAGGATGAGCCAAGTCTAGGCACCACTGTAACTGTTACACAACTGCACTGGAACTATATTAAAAAAAGAACAACAACTTTTTTCCTGTGCCTTATTATGCGTGTTATTACCATGTAGTATTTGTGGTTAGCTGCCATCGCTACAGTTCTAAACTTCACATTTCCTCCCTGGATATGCAGGAAAGACATACTTGTGAATACCTCCTTTTTCACAGTAGATGCTGATGATTAATCTGTTTAAAGGCAGTGGTTCTCAACCTTTTTATACTCAAGGCACTCCTCAGAAAATGCCAGCTCTTAGCTTTAATTTTTTTTTTTAAAAACTGTAGACAAAAAGCACAATTCTTTAGTTGGAAAGAACTCAGAAAGACCACAACTTGTCAGAATGTTTTTGACATTATGGATCCCTATCTGAAATCTTCAGGTTTAATCTGTGGATCACACTAAAGTGCTTGTACATCAATAATACTAACATTGCATGGCTCCCTTAAAAGGACCTGATTGCACCCTACTTAAGAATCACTGGTTTAAAACATGTATATTCACTCCTCTCCTCTTGCTGCTGCAGATGCCTGTGGAAACTTGCATTGCACAGAATTGCTATGGAAGGACCACTGCAGTTTCAGTACAAGAAAAAGCTTTCATTCCCAGGCCAAGAGCTCAGAAGAATCAAAACCAAATTCCATAGTTCTTATGCATGGTAGTAGCTGGTGTTTTTCTTTTATGAAAAACTAATTTTCTCACTCTTTGAGCAGTACTTCTCTTTAAACCTCAGTAACACTCACTTAGTAACCTCAGTACCATTTTAAACAGTAACACTAATTTTTTAAAATGGTGAGACCAATTTTCTAAAGTAGCAACTAGGGCTCCAATCTTGGGCTCCCTCTGCATCTGCAAATAGCAGGTCCCAATGGCTAGGAGCCCCACACAGCCAGGACCAAGAGTCACACAGCTCGTGGGCTTTAGCTCCCAGCTGTGCCTCATGCACACAAGGTGCAGTCAGGAGCCAGCCTTAGGTGGGTCCAGGGGTTTCATGTGCCCCCAAGCCTTGAGGATCATGGCAGCCACAATCCCCAAGCTGAGGGCTGTTCCCCGTGGGTAGGAGCCATGTCAGCCGCAGGGGCGACTCTGCTACACGTACAAATTAAATAACTTGATAGCAAGCAGCTATAAAGTTAGTACAACTTTTTAAGGTTTAACTTTCCAGCTGGTTGGAGATTTTTATCGTGTGATAGCTGCCTTCAGTAGGGGGCTGGATTAGATGACCATCTCCTTTGCAGCCCTACTTTCCTACAATCTGTACATGCCCTTTGGGGGTCAATTTAGAAATAAAAGCTGGTATAGGCATTGATTGCTTGAAACATGAGAAGTAAAATAGTAGCCAAATATTTGGATTTTGAATACTATCCCCTTCTATCTGGAGGACTGAACTAACTATAATTACAGAAATTCTTGCAGATACTGGCTATAACAAGAAGTGTCAAGTGAAACAAAACTTTAGGCTTTACTAATCTAAGCTTCATTTTGTTTCCAGAATTGAGAAGACATAAATGAAATGGGAATTGGCATTTCTCTAATGAACAAGCTTGGAGTCCTACTTCTTTTATGCTTTTTCCAAGTTCAACCACTCAAAAAAAAAAAAAAAAAAAAAAA